TGATCCATCGGATCCACAAAAAGATCCTCTGAGGAAATATTAAACAATCGATGGGCGAATCGTTTTTCTCTCGCTTCCACATGATTCGATTCGATTTGATATTGCTCATCTTCTGTTATCAAACGAGGCATTGGCTCCGATGGGATCACTGTAGTCTGGTTGGAGTCGTCGATCGGTGGAGATGGCTCTTTCATCCATGGCTCCACGGGAATTCCGTCTGAAAATCAATTTTTTCTGTTACTATCGGTTAAAAACAATTGAAATTGCGTTTTTATACTTTTGCTTGTCAAGAGCTTCAAAATGAGTATAAATATGATCATGTGGGTCCCTCCGCAAAAACTACAGTAACCCAAAAAAAAAACTACAGTCAGTTTTGTGTTAAAATCTTTGAAACTGCATTATTTGAGTTTGACTTGTCATGGGCTGGAAAATGAGTATAAACATGACATAGTTTAAAGAAAATTTGGGTCCCATCGCGAAAACTACAGTAACCCGAAAAACTAAAAATGCCATATCTTAGTCAGTTTTCTGTGACTTTTAAGAATGGAGTTTTCGAGTTCAGCTCATAACAAGCTTCAAAATGAGTATAAACATGACTACGATTCAAAAAATTTGGGTCTCACCACGAAAACTACAGTAATCCGAAAAATGTTCAATCCTAGCCTTGTTTATACTTGTTTTGAAGCTTGTAATGAGCTGATTTCAAAAATTTAAGTTTCAAACTTTTTGGACCACTCCTGATTGAGATACTGCGCTTTTAAACTTTTCGGGTTACTGTAGGTTTCGCGACAAGCGCCATTTATGTGAAATCTAGTCGTGTTTATACTCATTCTCTCTAAAACGTGCAAAATTCAGATTTGCAAAAAAAAATCAGCTCTGGCTAAAATTAGCCGAGTTACGGTAGTTTTACTTCTCCGGCCGTGACCTAGATAGTTTCTAGGTGACCTAGTTTTTTCTGATTTTTTTCAAAATTCTTTTAATTCTCGACATTAAAAAAATTCAATAAAAAATTTAAATGAAAAACTCACATATAACAATTATTCATGGTACATTTGTTCCGTCCAGGCAAACACATTTCCATATTTTTTATCAAAAAAATCTGGGTAAAAATTAGAAATCTCAGCAGCATTTTTCTTTTGAAAACGTAATATAATACTCTTTTTTCACATAGGAATAAAAACTTTAGCCCATGAATTTTCCAATAAAAAAGGCAGGTATATATTCCTAGCCGGCTAGTTTTATGATGACACAATTTATTAAATAAATCATAAATATGTATAATTAAAAAAGAAAATAAAAGAGAATAACTTGTATAATACCAACTTTTGAAATAGTTATTAGACTATGTACAACAAGAAGACAAGAAAAACATTGTTTTTAGTCATAGCGTTAGCTTCAATCCAATTTATCTAGGTTCCTGTAAAAGATATCAAAAACATGTCAACTGATGAAATGTTTATCATAATATAACCAATATTTTATCAATTGACGACTTTTTGAAATCTTTTACAGGAATCGAGATAAATTTGCTCGAAGATAGTGGTATTTTTTTAGAATTTTCAAGGGTTTTTTTGAGTTTGCGCTTTCACAAATTAGCTTCAAACTTTTTCAATCAATTCAAAATTTTCAGAGGTTACTAAACGAAAGTAAAGCTTCATTTTTTCAGTTGACAACTTTTTTGTGCAAATGTGCCCTAATGAGATATAGAGCACAAAACCGCGCACCAGAAAAGGGGAGGTGGTGGCGCGGCGCGGCCCACCTCTTCTATGCACCATATCTCATTAGGGCGCACTTGCACAAAAAAGTTGCCAACTACAAAAATGAAGCTCTACTTTCGTTTAGTTTACTCACCAAATTTCAGATTGATTGGAAAAGTCTAAACCTTATTTTTTGGCCTCTAAAATGACCAAATCAAAAAAATATGGAAATTTTTTTCAATTCTTCTTCACAACTTCGTATTCACTATTGAATCATAACGTTTTGTTTCTTCATAAATTTCTAAATTTCCAGATTCTAAAATTGTAGATTTCGTCCATTTTGCCGGCGATGCGTCGGCAAAAATACAGAAAACGGTATTAACGGTCAGAAGGAGAATCGCATGGGCTAGGAAGCAGTTTCGCCAGTCGATGAATCTGAAACTTTTTTAGTTTGGCGGGAATTTGAAATGTTTGAATTTGTGGAAACTCGAAATTTTCAGTAATTTAGAATCTTTCAGAATCAGAAAGTGAAACGAAAATTTCCGAAAAATCGAAATTTCCGAAATTCGACAATTTTCAGAATTTTCAGAAATTTCCGATTCTCAGATTCTCAAAACTTTCCGAAATTCAGAAATTTCAGAAATTCAGAAATTCAGAAATTCAAAAATTCAGAAATTCAGAAATTCAGAAATTCAGAAATTCAGAAATTCTGATATTCTGAAATTCGGAAATTCGGAAATTCAGAAGTTCCAGGAAATTCAGAAATTCAGAAATTCAGAAATTCAGAAATTCAGAAATTCAGAAATTCAGAAATTCAGAAATTCTGAAATTCTGAAATTCTGAAATTCAGATATTCTGAAATTCTGAAATTCTGAAATTCGGAAATTCAGATATTCTGAAATTCTGAAATTCGGAAATTCGGAAATTCAGAAATTCAGAAATTCCAGGAAATTCAGAAATTCAGAAATTCAGAAATTCAGAAAAAAGTTTTAGAATTTTCTGATTTTCAGATTTCCCGATTCTCAAATGTCCAGAGTTTTCAGAATTTCCAGAATTTCAGAATCCTTCAGGTTTTTAGAAGCTCCAGAGTTTTCGAAAATTAAAAAATTCCCAGAATTCAGAAATTCTGAAAAATCAGAATTTTCAGATTTTCTAGAATTTAAAAAAAACTCACGTATTCTCTTTGACAATCATATTCACAAAAAATGGTTCAATAAAAATTGTGCATGCCCAAATATTCATAATCTGAAAAACAATTTTTTTTGGCTGAAAATGATTTCAGTCATTTCATAAACCTGTTGCATTGAAAAATAGGCGTATTGCTGTGAGTGCAATGTGGCACATTTATTGAATCCAGCCGTATTGCATCCCATAACACTCTCCGCGCAAATCTGAAAATTCTCAATGGAGCGCATTTCCCAAAAAGGGCAAAATTACCATTATAATGATAGCCAAAAGGTGTTTTTCCTGGGGAATAAACGCTAAAATAATGAAAAATCCTGCGGCTACAGCCAAAGCGATTGTGTTAAAGATTTTCGTCTTCCAAGTCTCGTTGATAAATCTAAGAAGGACATCTGGATGTATGGACACACAGGAAAACTTACGTTATCCAATCACTAATGATACCCGATGATAATTTGGTCAAAAATTGGAAAATAATTGGTAGAGCCGCCAAGAAACCAGATGATAAAACATCATAATCCAAATAGTTTTTCATATATTGTGGATTGAATTGGGACACTAATTGAACGGTAATTAAGTCACCAAACGAGGCAATCCAACATGCCCAGAGAGATAGGGAAGTGAGAATGTGACGGAAGGGAAGGTCCTTGGGACGGGAAGTCTGGAAAAATGAATTTATCTTGAAATTTTGAAAATGTTTCTAGTTTCAAACTTTTTGATAGCTGTAACAGTTAGAGAGATCGACGCAGAGAAAGCAGAAGGTCTCGTTTCTCAGCGCGTGCACACTCAAGAAGGTTTCAAACGCGTTTATCTCCCTAACCATTAAAGATAGCAAAAATTTTATAACTATCAAAATAGTTGTTTTAAAATTTCACTCATTTTGTTAGTTGACAACATTTTTGTAGGTCTAATGACTCGTGAGATATAAGCGTTTCATTGATAGGTGCTTAAAGTTGACGCTTAAAGGAAGTCTTCTTTCTCTGCGTATCCTACTTTAACCAATAAAGATATCATAATTTTCTAAATTGTATCATATTAAAAATTTCATGGGCTATATTTTTGCAATTCACTACATTTGATAGCTTTATTGGTTCTCGAGGTAGAAACGCTCGAAGTTTGATGCCCCCGAAAAGAGAGATAAAGAGATGAGAATGTTTACTTTCTCTGCGTCTATCTCTTTAGGCATTGAAGATAGCAAAGTTTTGTTAACTAGCAAAATATTTATCTTAAAATTTCACACATTTCATTAGTTGACAAAGTTTTGATAACCTTAATGGTTAGAGAGATAGACGCAGAGAAAGCAGAAGGTCTCGTTTCTCCGCGCGCCCAAACCTAAGGTAGTTTGGAACGCGCATTACATTCTAACCATCGGAGATAAAAAATTTTTGCTAACCAGCAAAACATTTTTCTTAAAATTTCACACATTTTGCTAGTTGACAAAACTTTGCTAACTTTACTGATTCTCGAGATATGCTCACTTAAACTTGGGCGGTACAAAACAAGCGGGAACTACTGTATGTCTGCTTTCTCTGCGTCTATATCTCTAACCATTATAGCTATCAAATAGTTGTCAACTAGAAAACTGTTCCAATTTCATTTTCACATATTTTCCAGTTTACAACTGTTTTCCTATCGTCCCTAGATCTCCAGATCGCTCACCTTCTTTGCCACCTTCCCTCTTCCAATCGTTTCCAACTCCTTCTCCCCAACCCATGAGTGCTCTTTAGGTGAGCTTTTAAAAAACAACAAAAACAGTAAAAAAGTGACCAAAGACACCCCAGCATGTACATAATAAACCGATGTCCAGCCACCAGACGAAGAACACAACCATCCGGAAATTGGCATTGTAAAAATGTTGGATAGTTGAGTGTTGCCTGTTAGAAGACCAATAAATACCCCATGCTCGTAAGGTGTTGCCCAGTTAGCTGTAATGGATCCAGCTAAAGGAAAAGTGGCGGAAAAAGCCATTCCTTGGAAGATACGGGCGGTTACAAACCAGCCATAACCGATGGTTGAAGCTAGGGGGACCAACGCGGTGGATACTGAAAAAAAAACTTCTCAAAAAATCCGATTCATCTCAAGAAATATATTAGTAATAAAAAAATTTTGAAAACTAAAATGTAGCTTATAAAACTTCAAACATTTCGTTAGTTGAGAGAGAGAGACGCAGAGAAAGCAGTACACCGTCAACTGTGAGCGTTTATATCTCACGAGCCATGAGAGCTATCTAGATTTTGTAAACTAACAAAATTTTGTTCTAAAAATTTTATACATTTTCTTAATTGACTAAATTTTGATAGCTTTCCCCGTTTCCGAGATATTGGCGCTCAAACTGTTTGCGCCGAGAAAAGTCACTCTTTCAGCGCGCCTAAGGTTTAAGCGTTTGTGTCTCGCGAGCCGTAAGAGCTATCTAAATTTTGTAAACTAACAAAATATTTGTCTGGAAATTTTACACATTTTGTTAGTTGACTAAATTTTGATAGCTTTTATCGTTTTAGAGATATGTGCGCTCAAAATTTTGACACGCTGACAATGATAAATGAGATTGTGTGCTGTCTCTGCGTCTATCTCTTAAGCTATTTGAGTTGTCAAAAAATTGTAAACTAAAGAAATATATAAAATATGGTTAAAATTATCTGGAAACTGAAAAAAGTGCTTAAGCCAGTCAGTTTTGGAGGAAAAGGTCTTCAAAGTTCTCGAGACTATCTAGTCATATTTTTCTCGTCTTTAAGATACCAGATGCTTGAAATCCTTCCAATTTTCCAAAATTTCAGTTTTTTATACTCAAAATTCAAAACTTCAAACCTCCAGAAATCACACCAGCCACAATGAAAACCGGCTTATGTGGTAGATACTGAAAAGCCACTGAAAATGGAATCGATGCTGCCAGACTGCCAATCGCCACACATGATTGCAGGAAATTGGATTGCGATTTTGTGTAGGTTACTGTAATTAAAGGGGGACTCCGACCAAAAATTTTTATTGCATTAAAATGTGTTAAAATTTATCTATTTTCCTAATATTATTGCGAAAAAAATTCAAAAGAAATCCGAAATCCCCGAAAAACGCCGTTGAAAATGAAAAAAATTCAAAAAAGGTGCCGCCGGGGGACGAGGATTTGAATTCCCGCGCAGTGAGAAACCTAGGCCACGGCGCCTGACAGCATTATTTTCAAGTGGCCAACAGTGTTTTTTAATGTTTTTTACCTGTCGGAGATAAAAGCGAGAAAAATCCGGAAAATTTGTACGGTAAGAAAGTCGCGCCGCTCGCGTGGCTTAGGGGTCTCACTGAAAATCCTCGTCCCTCGGCGGCACCTTTTTTTGAATTTTTTTCCTTTTCAACGGCGTTTTTTGGGGATTTCGGATTTTTTTCGAATTTTTTCGCAATAATATTCTGAAAATAGATAAATTTTAACACATTTTGATGCAATAAAAATTTTTGGTCGGAGTCCCCCTTTAAAAACTATAACAATTTTTGTGAATTTTAATGGATTTTGTTAGTTTAAAACTTTTTGATAGCTCTAATGGTTAGGGAGATAGGCGCCTCGGGGCCCCGAAAAGTTTGAGCTTTTTTATCTTGAGAATCATCACAGCTAGCAAAATTAGGTCAACTGATAAAATTTGTAAAATTAAAAAATATATTTTGTTAATTAACAAAATTTTGTTATCTCTAATAGTTAGAGAGATATGCGCGTTTAAAACTTGCATAGGAGTGTGCGCGCTGAGAAACGAGACTGTCTATTTTCTCTGCGTCTATCTCTCTAACCATTAAAGCTATCAAAATTTTGTTAACTAAAAAAATGTGTGAAATTTTAAGATAAATATTTTGCTAGCTAAAATCTTTTTTCTATCTCTTTTGGTTTTCAAGATAACAAACCCTTCATTGTACTATTATCGTCTTGCATGCAGATTTTCGTGAAATTGTATGTATTCATATTGGATAGAATCGAAGTTAAACATAAAGTCGCGCATATTAAAATCTGAAAATATCTGAAATTTTGAGTTCAAAATGTTCCTTTTCTAATAAAATTACAAACCAAAAATCGGACCGGAATCGGAGAGGTGACCATTTTGGACAAAAAGTTATCAGTCAAATAAAATTGGAAATTTTTTGTGAATGTGGAATTTTTGTCTTATTAGTGATAAGAAGTAAGAAAAAGGAATGATCAGTGGTCGAAAATGTTGTAAAACTTTAGGGATTATGTGTTATTGAACAAATTTCAGAAGTACTTAACTTCAAAGGGGTATATCTTGAAAACCAAAAAAGCTAGAAAAAAGTTGCCAATTGTAAAATGTAGCTCTTGAAATTCTACACATTTTAGTAGTTGAACAATTTCTCCTAGCTTCAATGGGTTTTGAGATAAAAGCGCTGAAACTTAAAACGCCACAATTTCATGGAGAACTTCGCTTTTTTCCGGATTTGTTGTCTTGAAATCTTCTTTTCTTCGTTTATACATAACAATTTCCCGTATTTTAATTATTTTTCAAGAGAAAATTCCAGCCTTTCCAGTCATTTTCAGATAACTTTCAGCGATTTTTCAGCGAATTTCCATCTTATCACCTAGAGACAACACAAAATCGAGAGACGCAGACGCTGACAAGTTGACGCACTTCCCGTGCGCCCTTGGCGCGTTTCTCGTGTTCACCGCCGATTTTTTCCGTTGATTTCCGGTTGATTTTTCTCCAAATTTCGCGATTTTTTTCTGAAAAATAATATTTCCAGTTGAAATGTAGATTTTCAGCTAAAATTACCTGCAAAAATCCCAAAAAATTCACTATTCCCCACGAAACTTTGCGAATTTCTGCAGAACGTGTCATTTTTCAGCTAATTTTTGATATTTAAGCATTTCCAGGTCAAAAAAACAATGGGATTCTTGTGGAAAACCGCGAAACTCGGAATCAAAGTCGGTTTGGTCGCCGGAGCGGTGAAGTTGTCGATTGACAACGATATTTGGTCGACGAACAATGTTAAAGTTGGTTTTTGCCGGATTTTCGCTGAAAAAACCTGAAAATAACAAAAAATGCCCGAAAAATTAAAATTTTCCGGGTAAAAAATGTATTTTTTCATTTTTCCGGTGAAAAATCGGTCGTTTTGAGCGATCCTGAACGATTCTGAACGAAATTTTCAGATAAAGGTTCGAAAAACCTATTTTCCGCTGTTTTTAGGCTTAATTTGTCTCAGAAAATTGCCAAAAATAGTCAATTTTCACACGGGAACCCTGAAATTGTGATTTTTTGCCGAATTTTTTTGAAAATTTGGTTATTTTGAGCGAATTTTAAATTTTCGATTTTTTCAATTTTTCCAGGGAAGCGAGCTGTATCAAAAGCTGAAAAAGTACATTCTTCCTGGCACTGTCGTCTTTCCACAACAATTGCCAACTGTCGAAGAATGTCAACTGAAAGCCGGTGGAACGTGGAATAATGCTGTTGATTCGGTAGGAAATTGGCTGAAATTGGCTGAAAATGAGCCGGAAAATCGGAATTTTTAGCTTCATTTTAGTTAGAAATGGCTGAAAAATCCATCCAAAAAATGTGAAAACCACTGAAAAATAGCAAAAAAGCTATATTCTGAGTTCGGTAGAGTGCGTTTACCCTTTTCAAGCAAATTATCATTAGAGCGCACTTTCTAGAATGTTTTGCTCAGTAGAGCGCGTTTGCCTTATCATTAGTTGAAAATATTGTTATTAGAGCGCATTTTCAACTTTTTTTTCTAGAAAGTTCGATAGAGCGCACTTTCTAATCCTCCGATTTCACGAATAAGTTCAATAGAGCGCACTTTCTGCATGTCAAGATAACAGCTCGGCAGAGCGCATTTTCAATAGTTATTTTCGAAAAATCAAAATTATCAATGGAGCGCACTTTCTCCGTTCGATACAGCGCGTTTACCTTTTTCAGCAAATTATAAATAGAGCGCACTTCCACTGAGTTCGGTAGAGCACATTTTCAACTGTTTTTCTAGAAAGTTCGATAGAGCGCACTTTCTAATCCTCAGATTCCACGAATCAGTCTGATGGAACGCGTTTACCCCGTTCTTCAGAATATTATTAATAGAGCGTACTTTCTAAAACTCTTGTTCATTGGAGCGCGTTTGTCATTTTAACAGTTCCAATTTTCTCAGTCCGGTAGAGCTCGTTTACAGCAAACTCTCAATAGAGCGCACTTTCTAAAATCTATGTTCAGAAAAGAGCAATTTCAAGTGTTTTCTAGAAAGCACATTTCCTACTTTTCCCCAATGATTTCGATAGAGCGCGTTGGCCAAATTTTTTTGGAAAATCTCATTAGGGCGCACTTTCAATTTTTGCTTACACTAATCAGTCCGATAGAGCGCGTTTAGTCATCGTGTAGACAAGCGAACAAAAGACATGCCAAAAAATCGATGGAATTCAGAATTAGTCCCAAAGAACTCCTTTTTTGGATGAAATTTTGATTTTCACAAATTTACTGAAAATTCTGCAATTTCCAGGTCTTCACCACCATCGAAAACGTGCCATCGAGTGTGAACACCGTCGCCAATCGTCTCATCAATAACAAATAAATTATCGATTTTTTTATTTTTTCCCTCTCCTCGATCTAGAAAACTGTGTATTCTTTGATTCATTTATAAAACATCCATTTTTTTAATTTTCCAGATTTTCCAGAACTTTCCAAAAACCCCCAAATTGATAATAATAATAATTCTAATGACTTTTGGGGGAGCACACACAAATTGCAACTTTCCAAATACTCTTTCTCCCTCTCTCTCTCTTATCAGTAACTGATAAGCAGCAGCGAAACGAAAGATTTCAACTGTCAATTTACAATTTTGCCCAATTTTTCTTTTTTCCCAAAAAAAAAAAGGAAATTTCAAAAAAAAAAATTTTTTTTGAAAAATTTCTGAAAATCCAAATTTTCAGCCAAAAATGAACTCAGCGGTCGCGTCGAGGCTCTCTTGGGGACTGATTCTGAGCTCTATCGATTTTTTGGCATGTCTTTTGTTCACTTGTCTACACGATGGCACATTTAAATTCGCCAATTTTACAGGGCAATTTAGCGATTTCTCGTTTTTCACCAGGTTTGTTTTTTGGGTGTTGAAAGTGCGCTCTATTGAGAATTTGTTGGAAAAACGGAGTAAACGTGCTCTACCCAGCTCGGAATGTGCGCCCTAATGAGATTTGCCGAAAAAATTTGGCAAAAGCGCTCTATCGAACATATTGGAGGAAAGTAGGAAATGTGCTCCATCGAATTTTCTAGAAAAAACTTTAAAACGCGCTTTACTGAACAGATATTTTAGAAAGTGCGCCGCTCTATTGAAAGTTTGCTGCAAACGCGCTCTACCGAACTGAGAAAATTGAAATTGTTAAAATGACAAATGCGCTCTACTGAACAAGAGTTTTAAAAAGTGCGCTCTATTGAGAATGTGTTGAAAAAATGGGGGTGAACGCGCTCCATTGAACTGATTCGAGGAATCAGAAAATTAGAAAATCCGCTCTGTCGAACTTTGTAGAAAAAAGTTGAAAATGCGCTCTACCGAACTGAGAAAGTGCGCTCCATTGATAATTTTGACTTTTCGAAAATAACCCTTGAAAACGCGCTGTGCCAGTGCGCTAAATCGAGAATTTTCCAAAAAATACAATTTATGGCAAATGCGCTCTGTAGCACAAATAGAGGCTAGTTCGCTCCATACAAACGTTTAAAAAAATCGTCATTTTTGTGGCAAATGCGCTTTAACGAACTCTTTTCTTTTTTTCGAGGAAATGCGCTCCACTGAAAAAGTGCGAATTCGCTCTATTGCTAATTCTTCGAAAATTTCGCTGTTTGTTTGACTATTCCTTTATCACCGATTTTTGGTTTTTTGATCAAATAGAAATACTATTCCACTGATAAGAGAGAACCATCGGACGGTGCAAAAATATACCGAAAAACGCAAATTCGCTCCATTGAGAAATGCTTGAAAAACACTGAAAAACAGCGCGATATCGGCCTGAAGAGCAACGAAAACGCGCTCCATGGGCAATTCAAAAAAAAGGAGATAAATCACAAACGCGCTCCACTGACAAATTTGCAGTACTATCGATTTATTCCTTCTTCAAATCCTCCGTTTCGCACTATGGATGGTCCCGGCCGCGATTCACATGGCAAACAAGGCAGATACTTTGACAATGTGGAAAGAGGTAAGTTCGCTTCATTGATAACGCACTGTGCAAATGCGCTCCATTGATAAAAGTGTCGTCAATGGAGCGTAGTTGCAAATAGATTGAAAAACTGTAACGAAGAAACGGCGCTCCATTGACAAAATTGTAAATCGAGCGCATTTGCAACTATAAAATGCTTTCAGCTCGCAAAGGCTCTTTTAAGAATTTTGATGTAAATTCGCTCCATTTACAAACATTCTCAATGGAGCGCATTTCCAACTAAAAACGAAGAAACTGCGCTCCATGAACACAACTGTAAATTGAGAGCTATTGCAGCTATAAAATGCAAACTCGCTCTATCGACAGAAGTTTAACACTGGGCGCACGTTTGCAGTAAATGCGCTCTAGTGCGAATTGTGATACAGCAAATGCGCTCTATTGATACATGTTGTCAATGGGGCGCATTTTCGGCTGGAACATGCGAACTCGCTCTATTGAGATTTCCGGTTCAAAGCGTATCTTGAACGCGATCTATTAGCCTAATAGAGGAGCAAATGCGCTTTATTTACAAAAAAACAAAGTCGCTCTACTGACAAATTTTGCAGCCCATCTTCTGCACCTCTCTACTCATTTGTGCCGCTTCACCAACCAAACTTCTGCTTCTAACCGAAAAATTGAAACCCGGAGAATTTTTGACATTCGGAGATACGGCATTTTTGGTTTGGAACTTTTTGGCGGCCATCATTTTGAACTCCTCGTGGACAAGATTCTTCATTCGAACCCCATCGTCGTATATTATTTTGGAGGATGAAGACGTGAGTTCTGTCGGTGTGTCCAGATGTCCAGATGTCCGAATTTTTCAGATGGAACAAGCGCCAAAACAGACTTTTGAACTTATTTTCCGTCTGTTGCAATACTGTAAAAGAGAATGGTTGTGGCATATTTCCGGATTCTCATGGCTCTTCATTTATTCGATTAGTGAGTTTTTGGGTCTCACCACGAAAATGGAAAAATCGATGTAACTTTTTTAGTTTTGGGCGGATTTTAATGAAAATTATACTATTCAAATCAGCCAATTAAGCTAATTATGAATCTTTTTGCACATTAAACCCATTATAGCCCACTTTTGAAAAATTTGAATTTCAAAAAAATTGAGTCTCACCACGAAAATCGAAAAGTTGTTATAACTGTCTTAGTTTTGGGCGGACTTTAATGAAAATTAGACTATTTAAATCAGCCAATTAAGCTAATTATGAATCTTTTTTTTTAATTTTGAATAATGGAAAAATTGGGTCCCACCACGAAAGTGGAAAAATGACCATATCTCTCTTAGTTTTGAACCGATTTGTTGTAAAATGAAATTTTTAGAATCAGCCAATTATAATAATTACGCCATCAAAAAAACAGCCAATGAAGTTAATAACGACCCAATTATCAGATTTTTAAAATTTTCAAAAAATTGGGTCTCACCACGATAGTGGAAAAATCGATGTAACTCTCTTAGTTTTGGGCCGATATAGATGAAAATTAGACTATTTAAATCAGCCAATTAAGCTAATTATGATCCAATTTTCAGATTTTTAAAATTTTCAAAAAATTGGGTCTCACCACGAACAAGAAAAAATTGTTATAACTGGCTTAGTTTTGGGCGGATTTTAACGAAAATTATGCTACTCAAATCAGCCAATTAAGCTAATTATGACCCAATTTTAAGATTTTTAAAAATTTCTGAAGTTGGGTATCACTACGAAAATCGAAAAATGACCATAACTCGCTGAGTTTTGGGCCGATTTGAATGAAAATTAGACTGTTCAAAACATCAAACTTTATACATTCCAAAAAAAAATCAATTTGAGAAAAGTGAATTTCAGCTCGAATCTTCGTCCCGTACTACACTGGTCAAGTGATTGCCACCGTAGTCGCCACGAAGTCCTATCCAGCTCTCTCGAATGCCGTCTACATCATGACGATCATCTCATTGGTCAGTGCAGTGGCAGCTGGTTTTCGTGGAGGATCATTTGAATACGCTTATGCCAGAATTCAACGATCCATTCGTTATGATTTATTCCATGGTCTTGTGAAACAAGATGTCGCGTTTTATGATGCTCATAAAACTGGAGAAATTACTTCGAGATTGGCTGCTGATTGTCAAACGATGTCGGATACTGTAGCTCTTAATGTCAATGTCTTTTTGAGGTTTGTAAGTTTTGGGTGGTCCGGGTCCTTTAAAACGACCGTTGGTTGGCCAACGGCGGCTGTAACTGTTGTCAATTTTTCACATTGTCTTGGAACAATAACAACCTACTAAACAAAACTAGAGCTTCATTTTTGTAGTTGACAACTTTCTCGTGCAAATGCGCTCTGATGAGATATACCATGTGGAAGTGGTCAGCCGCGCCGCTTCCTCCCCTTTCTAGAGGTGCCCCGCTTCTATGCACCATATCTTGCTAGAGCGCATTTGCACAAAAAAGGTATCAACTACAAACATGAAACTCTTGTTTTGTTTAATGTATTTGCCAAATTTCAGTTTAATTGAAAAAGTCTAAACCTTATTTTTTTGCCTTCCAAATAACGATATTAAAAACATTTAAGTTTGCATCTGGAGGAAGGATTATTAAATGGAGCGTATCTCATTAGGGCGCATTTGCACAAAAAAGGTGTCAATACAAAAATTAAAAACTAGTTTTGTTTAGTAAGATGCAACCTTGCTCCATTGACAATTTGTTTCAGAAACTGCGTGATGCTTCTCGGATCCATGATCTTCATGATGAAACTCTCATGGCGACTATCGTTGGTGACTTTCATTCTTGTTCCAATCATTTTCGTTGCTTCGAAGATTTTCGGAACTTATTATGATGTGAGTTTTGGCAAATGCGCTCTATTGATAATCTAGCTGTAACTCGCTTAGTTTTCGTCCTATTTTGATGAAAAGCATACTATTGGAATCAGCAAATTAAGACAATTATGTCCCAATTTTTAAAAACAAGAATTTTTGAAAACTTGGGTCTCACCACGAAAATAGAATTATGACTATATCTCGCTTACTCATTGTTAGTTGTGGGCCAATTTTCATGAAAACTAAACTATTGAAGTCAGCGAAACTGGCAGAATCTAATGAACAAAATTGTACCATATTCAGCTCCTCTCCGAACGCACCCAAGACACGATTGCCGAGTCGAACGACGTAGCTGAAGAAGTGCTCTCCACAATGCGTACCGTCCGTTCATTCGCTTGCGAGAACGTCGAAGCCGATCGATTCTACGGAAAATTAACCCACACTTTGGATGTAACCAGAACTAAAGCCATCGCCTACATCGGATTCCTTTGGGTCTCCGAACTCTTCCAATCATTCATCATTGTTGCAGTTCTATGGTACGGTGGACATTTGGTATTGACCCAGAAGATGAAAGCGGATCTTTTGGTTTCATTCCTTTTGTATCAAATGCAATTGGGTGACAATTTGAGACAAATGGGTGAAGTTTGGACCGGATTGATGCAATCGGTTGGTGCATCGAGAAAAGTGTTCGAGTATATTGATCGAGAGCCACAAATTCAACATTTGGGAGAGTATATGCCGGAGAATGTCGTTGGAAAAATCGAGTTCAGAAATGTGCACTTTAGTTATCCAACTAGGTCGGATCAACCCATTTTGAAGTGAGTTTTTGGGGTCATTTTGGGGCACCGAGACTTGTCGAGATCGAGACTTCTCGAGACCGAATTTTCAAAATCAAAATTTTTCGAGGCCAACATCTCGAGATCGAGATGTTTCGAAAACGAGACTTCTTGAGTTCAAGAAGTTTCAGGATTAAGACGTTTACAAGTTTCGAAACCGAGTAGTTTAGACACTAAAAACTTTGAGATGAAATGTTTCGAGACCGAGAATTTCCAAGACCGAGACTTTTCGAGAACGAAACTGTTCAAGACCGAGACATCTCGAGATTAAATGTTACGAGACAGAGAATTTTCGACACCGACTTTACAAAATCGAGATTTTTCGAAACCGAGACTTTTCGAGACTAAAAATTTGGAGATCAAAAGTTAGGTAAGAGACCGAGAAGTTTCGAGACTTTCGGATACCCCAATTTTTAAGGTCGAAAAATTTCGAGACTTTTTGAAACCGATAAGTGTCGAGAAAGACAATTTTCAAAGCCGAAAAGTTTCGAGATAGAGACTTTTCGAGATCGAGACTTTTCAAGACCGAGAAGTTTCGAGACTTTTCAAAATCGAGACGTTTCGTGTCCTGAGACGTTCAAAACCGAGACTTTTCGAGACCGATACATTTCGAAAAGCCCGACCTTAGTCTTGAAACTTCTCGGTCTCGAAGCTTCTTGGTCCCGAAACTTCTCGCTCTCGCTCTCAAGAGGAGTTTCGAAACGTAATTTCGAGATAAGATGTTTCCAGATCGAGACTTTTAAAAACCGAGAAATCTCGGGATTGGACGCTTCGAGAAGTTTCGAGAAGTTTCGAGACTTTTTGAGACCGAAAAAATTCGATTCTAGGATTCAAAGTGTTTTGGTCTCGAAAAATCTCGGTCTCGAAATGCCTCGAAACTTCTCGTTTTGTAATTTCTTGCCTCCGAAATTTCTGGAAACTTCTCGGTCTTCAAAAACTTGTTTTCCAGAGACCTCTCGTCCGAGACTTTTTGAAGTCGAGGCTTTTCGAGACCGAGAAGTTTCGAGTCCGAGACTTCTCGACATCAAGAACTTTTCGAGACTCTTCGTTTTGGTCTCGAAAATTCTCGGAACCTCCCGAAACTCAAAAACTCTTCTTCCAGGGACCTCTCGTTCACCGTTGAGCCAGGAGAGACTGTCGCATTGGTTGGACCATCAGGTTCTGGAAAATCGTCATGCATTTCTCTTCTCGAGAATTTCTATATTCCAAATGCCGGACAAGTTTTGGTGGATGGTGTTCCACTGGAAGATTATGAGCATCACTATATTCATAAGAAGGTGAAAATCTGTTTTTTGGAGTTAGGTTCTCACCACGAAAAGTTTTAGATCGCTTTGGTCGGACAAGAACCCGTCCTATTTGCTCGTTCGGTTATGGAAAATGTAAGATATGGTGTGGAGGTTGCGGATACGGTAAGTGAACATTTTTGGTGGCAAACAAATCAATTGATTTTCAAATGTTCTAATAGAATTTCAAATTTCACACATTTCTGTCGAAAAATCATATTTTTTGCTCATCTTGAAGCCGAGATATAGGAATTTAAAGTTTGGAGAGAGAGAGAGAGACGCAGACAACGAGACACTCTAACTGTCTGCTTCTCTCACCACCTGAACTTCAAATGCCTATATCTCGGCTTTTAGATGAGCTAGAAACGCTATTTTTAAACAGAAATCTGTGAAATTTTAAATTCTATTAGGCAATAAAAGAATCTATGACATTTCAGTAAAAATATTTTTCGAAAACAAAATAGATTTTTCTGAAAATTAAATTGTTTCCAATAGAATTTCAAATTTTTAACATTTCTGTCTTAAAATCACTTTCCTAGCTCATCTAGAAACCGAGATATAGGCATTTGAAGTTTAGGAGGCGAGAGACGCATACAAAGAGAGTGTCTCACTGTCTGCGTCTCTCGCCTCGTAAACTATAAAGACCTATATCTCGGCTTCTAGACGAGCTAGAAAAATGATTTTTGGACAGAAATCTGTGAAATTTTAAATGCTGTTAGGCAATTTAAAAATTTTCTTAAAAAACAATTTTCCAGGATGTGATTCGTTCATGCGAGATGGCAAATGCTCATGGATTTATAATGCAAACCACATTGAAATACGAAACAAATGTTGGAGAAAAAGGAACCCAGATGTCGGGGGGTCAAAAACAGAGAATCGCCATCGCCCGAGCTTTGGTCCGTGAGCCAGCGATTCTTCTTCTCGATGAAGCCACGTCGGCGTTGGATACGGAATCCGAGCATGTTGTACAAGAAGCGATTTATAAGAATTTAGATGGAAAGAGTGTTATTTTGATTGCTCATCGATTGTCGACTGTGGAGAAGGCTGATAAGATTGTCGTTATTAATAAGGTCAGAAAAATCTAGGTCATGACTTAGAAAAATTGGGTCATGACCTAGAAAGAATTAGACCATGACCTAGAAAAAAATTAGGTCATGACCTAGAAAAATTTGGGAATATCTGGAAATTTCGAAAATGTTCATAATTCCGAACTTCGAAAATCCAAACTTTTTAATTTAAAAAAATCAACTTCTTGTGAAAAGTGGGCGGAGTCAGGAGGCGGAGCCTGAATTGCAACCCTGGCACGGTTGGACACGGTCATAACGGAGAAAAAAACCTATCAGGATTACAACTTAGGCTCCGCCCACTTTTCCCATGTATTAAGCAAACGCGCTCCACCGCCAAAAACCCCAACAATCCGTTTTTTGCAGGGCCGCGTCGAGCAAATCGGAAACCACGAGAGCCTCCTCAAAGACACCGAAGGCACCTATGCCAAACTCGTTAAACGCCAAATGATGGGCGATCAGAAACCACGTAAACGCACTACAGTACCCCGATCGGGTCCACAGCCAGCCACGTCGATCAACGTGGCGGGACCGTCTCAGGGCAACGCAATGTCGCTGTTATCCACTTCTTTCAGCCAATCCGCTTCCAGTGTTACCTCTCATTAATTTCTTATTTTTTGAATTTCTAATTTTTCAAATTTCCCGCCATTTTTCTCCCCGAACTGTTTGATGAAATTTTGTAGGCTTTTTTTGTTGATTTTCGCTAATTTAAGACATAGTTTTAAGCCAAACAAATATTATATCTTTTCAAAATATTACATGCTTTCTCTCTGACAGGAATTTTTAAAAAAATCAATGAATTTGAAAAAAAAATCAATAATTAAAAAAATTAGATCAGCTCCAAGTAGTCGTTGTCGTCGTCACGCAGTGCGGCACGTTGGTTGCGTGAGGTGGCCTAAAATTTGGGAAAAGTCCAATGGAGCGCACTTGCACCTACCGTAGATCTCAACGTGTTGTTCCAGCTGCGAACGTGCGAGTAGGTGCTGACGGTGCCACGTGTCTCGTTGGCCGCTTGCCAATTGTTCACTGATAATCGATAAGAGTCGGCGAGCAGTGGCGGTTGCATGGCCTAGAAAATTGGGGAAAAGTTAGGCCATGGGTCGTGGCCTAGAAATTTGAAAACTAGGCCACCAGACCTTTTCTAGGCTCAAGTTGCTCATTTTTCGTCGATTTTTATTGATTTTTTCACCTCATAATGCTGACTCCGCCCACCACTTCCATTACTTCCAACTCCCAATGGTCCGTAGTTCATTTGTGAGTAATTCGCGTTGGATAGTGTATAGGGAGACGTCAATGGGGTGATTGGGTAGATCATCATGTAGTACAGTGTGGCGAAGTGGATCACGAGCTGTGAAAAGGGTCACTTATCGATTTTTTCGTGGAAAAATTAGGTTGTGTGAGATGGAGCGCGTTTTCCGACCGGAAATTCGAGATTCGATTTTTTACGTGAAAATTCAAATTTATAGATTTTCTCGTGAATTTATCGATTTTTCACGTAAAAATCGATTATTGTAAAAGTTGGAATTTTCACGTAAAAATTCAATTTTATCGATTTTTGAACAATTTTCACGTGAACTTAAAAATCGATTTTTACGTAAAAAATTCGAAATTTATCGATTTTTTTGAAAAATTTTCACGTAAAAGTAAATATCGACTTTTACTTGAAAATTCAAACTTTTGATTTCACGTAAAAATTCCAGTTTTATCGATTTTATGAAATTTTTCACTTAAAAATCGATTTTTTTAAAATTTGAATTTTCACGTGAAAAATCCAATTTTATCGATTTTTCTGAATTTTCAAAAATTCAAACGCGGTCCACCGAACAGGTCTTCTCAATAGAGCGAATTAGATATATTCACCATAATCGCATAGAAACACGAGGTAATGAATGCGAAAATGATGAACGCGGTGGAATGATAGTTCGGATTCGTTCTCGCCGTTTTTGAGTATTGATCGATTGAGGTGATGGTGGAGTAGTACAGTAGGAACGTCATCAGGAGCTGAAATTTCAGAATAATTCATTTTTTTGACGATTTTCAGCGGGTTTTTCTCGCTTTGAATATACAAAAATCGGCAAAATCTGAACTAAAAAACACTGAAATTTGGGAAATTTTTATTTTTATAAAATTTTTATTTTTTCGAATTTTCAAAAATCGATTTTTATCCGTTTTTCGGCAATTTTCTAACTAAAAAATTGCCGGAAAATGAACGAAAAAATGAGAAAAATTCTCAGATTACGGTATTTTACCTCAAAAAACAAGCTGGGAAACGTGAGAATCGCGCGGTACCGTATCCTCAAATCCGTCTCCTTTTTCACCAAATACACTGAATACAAAAAGAGCGCACAACTGATAAGAAACGCCACCAAAAGATAGGCACACTGCTCGACGAGCATCCATTCGGCCAGCAGGAAACGTGGCAGATTCTGCGTGATCGTGTGAATCCATTGACACGTGGACGCTGAGCATAGGAAGGCGTCGGAGGCGTTTCGACAGTAGATGGGGGCCGAGAGATGGTCCTGCATGGAACGAATACAGTAGACGAAGAGGCAAATGTATTTGATGGTGGAGATGTTCTGGAAAATATGAAATTTGGAGGGAATTTCAAATTTTTGAAAAAACATTTTCTAGGTCATGACCTAGATTTTTCTAGGTCACGACACATTTTTTTTTAGGTCATGACCCAATTTTCGATTCGAAATTTCGAAGTTTCAAGGAAATTCACAAAAAAAAATTAAAAATTCTAAAAATTCGAAAATTTTCAAAAATTCAGATTTTTTGTTGAAAATTCCAGAATCGTGAAAATTATAAATTCTTGAAATTTTCGAATTTCAAAATTTTCCAAAAAATGGATTTTTTACTCAAAAATTCAAAAAACTTACCAATGAAAACCTTAAAAGTGGCACGTAGATCTTATGAAACGTATCGTTTAGTTGATTCTCCGAACTTCGTCGTGTGGAAGAATACATTCTTGTCTGGAATTTTTGAGAAATTTTCAGCCAAAATTTCCGTTTTTGGGCTGGAAAATCGTCAAAAAAAACGGCTAAAAATGCTATTTTTCCAGGCAAAAATGCCTAAAAATTCAATTTTTCGGAACTAAAAAAAGCTGAAAAATACAATAAAAATTACCGGTAACAATGACGATATCGCGCCAAAATACATAGCAAATCAGCAAAAAAATTATAAAATTTACTAAAAATAATTAGAAGTAATTATCAAGAATTCCAGTCAATCTCATTCGCTGGAAGTACGACTTTGCGCTTCCTCGTCCACCGTTTCCAGATGACGATATTGTCGTTTCGGTGGCGACATTGAGCGATTATGAAGATGAGAAGACGATGAGGAGGTAGAAGACGTGGAAGACGTAGACGATGATTGGGGAATCAATGGAGACGACGCTGTGGATAATACGCTGGAAAACGTCGTGTGTGGGAATGGGAAAATCGCCGGAAAAGGGAAAAATAAGCCTAGTTTTTTGAGAGCTACACGAATTCTGAGGATTTCAAAAATGCGAATTTTGAAATTTTTGAGGTCCCAAAAATTCGAAAAATCTCAAAATTCCGAAAATTTTGATATTTTTAACTCGAAAAATGCTCATTTTGAGGTCCCAAAAACCTGAAAAATTGAGAAATTTTGATTTCAACAATCTCAGAAATTCGAAATTCCGATGAAAAAAACCAATAAAAAATCGATAAATTGGATTTTGACCTGGAACAAATTCGACAAGAAACGTGAAAATTCGAAATTTCCAGCTCCCAAAAAATCATTTTTCACGTCAAAAATCGAAATTCCACGTGGATTTTTTCGGAAATTATATCCGGGTTTTCACGTGAAAATTTAAAAAAACTAGGTCATGACCTAGAAAAACTGGGTCATGACCTAGAAAAATTGGGTCATGACCTAGAAAAATTGGGCTATGACCTAGAAAAAATTAGGCCACGACTTAGAAAAAATTGGGTCACGACCTAGAAAATATTAAAAAACTAGGTCATGACCTAAAAAAGTCACGTGATAAATATCAAAAATTCCACGCGGAACATTGTAAAATAACGAATTTTAGGTGAAAATTTGAAATTTTAAATTCGAAAAATCGGATTTTCCACCCAAATTTTCCAAATTTCCAGTCGATTTTAGCGTGAAAATTGATCAAATTTTTGTCAAAAATCGATTTTTCTCTAGAATTCTGAGCCCTTCCCATTACCAATGCGCTGTCGTTGTCGTTCCTTGCATCTCTCCAGCCTCCGATATTAAATTGGTGCCTGCAAAAAAGCCAAAATTGATGATTTCCGCCAAGAACAACACAATTTAAACGGACCTTTCGCCTGGAATCGCATCAACGACTTCCGCAGAGGGCGACGGAACGGGCCTGGAAGTTCGGGAAACAATTTTTTATAAATCTTTTTTTCATAAAAATTCATAAAAATGATCAAAAAATTACTGAAAATTGCCCAAAATTCATGAAAAATGGTCCAAAACTCATAAAAAATGATCCAAAACTCATGAAAAATAGTCCGAAAATCATGAAAAATGGTCCAAAACTCATGAAAAATGGTCCAAAACTCATAAAAAATGGTCCAAAACTCATGAAAAATAGTCCGAAAATCATGAAAAATGGTCCAAAACTCATGAAAAATAGCCCAAAATTCAAGAAAAATGGTCCAAAATTCATGAAAAATGGTCCGAAATTCATGAAAAATGGTCCGAAATTCATGAAAATTGGTCCAAAAATCATGAAAAATGATCCAAAATTCATGAAAATCGTGATTTTGCACCAAAAACTCGTTTTCTTTCAAATTGAAAGTCTCAATATAAAAAAGATAGATAAATCTCACTATCTTGCGTAGTAGGCGTTGGCGGATCGCCTCTGCGCTGATAGTACAACGCGCCAAGCCAGAATCCATACAAAAAATAGATATAGAGAGCCCACATGAAGATAATGGGGATCAGTGATAAGCGGAAGGCGTCGATGATAACGGAAATTTTGAAATTATCTCTGATTAGGTGGCGGATAGTGGAGTGAACGCTTCGAAGAGACCACACAAATAGCGGATACATTAAGGCGATCTGCAAATTTGAAAATATTGTTTTTTTGAAAAAAAATAAGTACCACTGCCAGCGAAGAAGGGATCAGAAGAGTGGCTGGATTCAAACGAGGCGGAAAATTCCTACGAGAAATGCTGGTTTCTGATAGTCGCATGCCCAGAAATCCGGTGATGGAGCTGGAATTTTTTTAAAATTCTGAAAAATCGAAAAAAAAGCTTCTAGTTCAAATTTTGATCACAAGAAATAACAATTATAATAACCTGAATATAAGAAAATAGGACGCGAAATTTATCATATTCCTTGCAGATCGATACAGGGGATTCGTGGCGCCTCCATTATGTATTCGATACGAGTCGTCGCCTGTCGTGGAGACTCCGTCGAAGCCCGGAATCGAAATCGGCTTGATTTGTTCGTCGGAATTCATTATACTTCCATGATAAAGTCCGTAGAAGGCGATAGCTAGCAGACAGACTTCCACGTGGAATATTAGGCTCTGAAAATTGATTTTTTGGCCTAAAAAATTCAGGAAAAAACGCACTTTGACATGAACCTGATCGAAAAGGCCAACGATACGGATAGCGGCGGTGTAGACGTCCGGATTCTGGGCGTGCTCCTCGAGAAATATTAGAATGTGTTGATCGGATGCTTGTATCTGCCATTTTTTGAGCTGAAAATTACATGAAACTT